GTGTGGAACTTGGACAGGGCCTTGCGCGCGCTGAGCRCGCTCCGTGGAGGCCATGTTAGGGTTGGCCTGTTTTTTCTTTGCCTGGTACTGGCTACTGAACTGAGTTACATCCCCAAACACCCCTCCCCCTTTTTTAAAATTTTGAGACAGGGTGTCACTACATTGCAGAGGCTGTCCTTGAACTTGTAATCTTCCTGTCTTAGGCTCTGAACTGCCAGATTACAGCTCTGCCCAGAAKAGCCCTACTATGTTTTAAGAAATAAGACAAACCTAAAAATGTGTAGTGAGCAGGAATAAAGGAAGCCAAGCAAGACTTTTAAAGCAGCAAAATGAAATTACGTAGAAATGACAAATATCTGAAAATTTAAAAATGAAAGGTAAAGGTGTGGTGGCACCTGCCTGGCGGCTCAGGAGCTTCAGACAGGAAGATCACAGTTCAAGGCCAGCCTCAGCAATTTAGCAAGGCCCTAGGCAACTCAAGTGAGACCCTGTCTCAAAATAAAAAAATAAAAAGGGCTGGGAAGGGGTCACTGGTTAAGTACACCTGGCTGCCTGGCTTCAATCCATAGTACAGAAAACAAAAGTCCAAGTGAAGTTCTGTTCCGGTGTGACGGAGGAGAACCATATCTGATTCTCCTATAGGTAGCTATTATAGATTCCAGACAAAATGTCAAAAGCCACTGTGTGATGGTGTCCAAACGCTGGCGGAAGGCTGGAGGTGGCCCTGTGGCCAAGAGCTTGCCAAGGGTGCACCAGGCTCTGAGTGATCCCCAGCACCCACACCACACAAAAAAGGCAGGTAGAAACCACAGAGGATTTGGCCCCTGAAAGAAGGCAACCACTGACCCCTGATGCAGCATTTCCCCTGAGGACACCACGAAGTGGATGTGGATGTGAGCGGAAAACTGCACTGTGATGGGCCTGAGGAGTCCGAAGACGAAGCTCAGAGCTGCCAGAGGGGACACCAAAGGGGGATTAAAAAAAAAAAAAAAGAGGGAGCCACAGAGAGGAGTCCTCATGTCTGTGTGTGAGTTTCCCTTAAATCCTGGCCGACCCCTGACCACACAAGAACCCTCCCCTGGTGGAAAACATACTGTCCAGGCCCGGATGAGAGGGGCTCTCAACTGCTGCCCACCGCAGGGAGAGGCAATGAGGGGCCTGGATACCTCAGCCAGAGCAATTAACAAGCGATTAGCAATTTAGCAAGGCCCTAGGCAACTGCAACCCCAGAAGGGCCAGCCTCAGCAGAGCCCTCACCCAAAGCCAAGGGTGAAACTGAACACAGCGGAGGGCAAAAGCAAGCGCCCACGAGCTCCAAGGGATAGCTAGCCAGGACTGCTTCTGAAACAAAACCTAAACCTATTTCAGAGGAAGAGAGTGGAATACAGGGTATTTATCAGTCTACAATATCTAGAACTCAGTGAAAACACAGACATGCAAAACAATAAACAAACAAACAAACAAACAAACAAAAAACCCAGGAACAAAAAAATCTGACCAAGAGTAAAAAAAAGGAACCCTCAGAGACTGATTCCCAGATGTCCCAGATGCTAGAGATGAAAGGCCAGGACTTCAAAGCGTCCATTATAAATACATTTTAAGACCAAAAAAAAAAAAAAAAAAAAAAGTCAAAGAGGGAACAGATAGGAAGTATCAGAAGGTAAATTAAACATATAAAAGAGCAACTGGAAATTCTAAACTCAAACGCATAGCTATCTGAGCTGAAAACCATCTCTGCAGGGGCTGACCAGCAGATTATCAGGGACAGGGGTCAGTGAGCCAAGGACAAAGGAGAAGAAGCCACGCAAAATGAAGGAATGCGGGGAACACTGATGTGGAAGGAGGTGGGCTTGGGGCATAGCTCAGTGGCATGTGCTAGCCTAGCATGTGGCATGCGAAATGCCTAGGGTTCCATCCCCAGCAAGCAAGCGTGCCTCACACAGAAAAAATAAGAGAACAAAATCAAGCAGTCCAAAATACACACAATTGGAATCTTGGAAGAGAAAATATATACAGAAAAAAGAACAGAGGAAATTTACTCTGAAAGATTCCCAAATTTGGTGGTAGACATTAATTCTAATCAAAATAAATCCAAAGAAGTACTCCTGTATCTATGCATAGATCATCAAACTGTTGCAAATTGAAGATAAAGGTGATAGAGCAGCCCTGGGTTCAATCCCCGGTACAGCATACAAAAAAACAAAACATAACCTTCTATTCAAATCACAACTGAGTTTCTAAGAGAAACAATAGAAGCCAAAAGGCAACCGAACAGCATCTTTAAAGTTCCTATAAAAAGAACTGGCACTGTGCCTGCCTCACAAGCATGACACCCCAGGTTCCACCCAAGGATCAGGGGAAAAAATCTCCAGCATCATCAAAAATAAATAAATAAAGCTAAAATTCAAAAAAAGTAACTGGGCACAGTGGCACTCACCTGTGTCCTGTCTGCCGGGGAAACAGGGGTAGGAGGACGGCTTCAGCCCAGGGTTCAAGGCCAACCTAGGCAATACAGTAAGATCCTACCACTACATAAGTGAAAAAAATAATTTTATAAGAAATATGTGTTGGGCATGGTGGCCAACGCCTGTAATCCCAGGGACTCGGGAGGCTGAGGCAGGAAGATCACAAATTCAAGCCTCGCCTCAGCAACTCATCTCAAAAGCAAAAATTAAATAAAGACTAGGGATGTGGGCCTGGGTTCAATTCCCAATACTGCAAATTCTGAAAAAGGAAAGAAAAGAAAACCTGTGCTATATAAAGAGCATCCCAAACCCCCCAGCCCTGGCCCGCAGTTAGAAACAAACCCAAATGGAGCCAGGCGCAGTGGTGCACTCTGCGATCCCAGCGGTTCGGGAGGCACAAACAAGTTCTGTGTTTTGGAATCAGACCTCAAACAAGAACAGACCAGCAAGGGAAAAAATGCCACGGACAGAAGGCGATTAAAAGCCCAAGAGTGCATTTCAAAACACTCTGGAGGAAAGCCGGTTTCTTTGGGTGGGTGTGAGTTCAAAAGACGCACTTTAGGGAACAGTTCCTACACTGCCACCCCTCATGCTGGATCCTAAGTCCTAATAAAGCCTCTTGCAGATAGTTTTTTAAATATATATATATTTTCAAGAAAAAACACAATTAGTGCCCAAAAGTGAAGCTTTCTTTTGAATTTCATTTATTTAATTATACAATCTCATTAATTTGTGGATACAGTATGTGAAATATTCAGGATCTGAACTTCATATCTTTCAGGCAGGTGTCTTRCTTAATAGGGTACATCATCTGCTTTCAAAGAAACAAAGGAGAAAAGCGGTTTCATAAAGGTAATATCACCCAGGTCATCTCTCCATGAAACAGTGTCTAGAAGCATTTATGCAGTAACACTTGCCAGCCATGGTGGTGCTGCCTGGGGGGCGGGGGGCTGAGGAGCTAGGGTTGTGGCCCAGTGGGAAAGCACCTCAGGTTCAATCCCTGGTATGTCAACAACAATAATAAAATATAAAAGTGGGTGGGCAGCTGGGGAGAGCTCAGTGGTACAGCACCTGGGTTCAATTCCCAGTACCACATACAATCAAAACCAACCCCACTATGAACTACCTCTACAACACAGCAATGGCAGTTCCGRGTCACTGTCAAGACAACGTGGGGACAAAGGAAGAAATGAACTAATCTAGACAGCAAGAGACAGGAGCACACTGACAGTCCTTAACTGAATCACCAGGACCCCAGGTTAAATCACTTCCCACCAAGTCCAGTTACTCATTTTACACTTGAAAATGAAAATTGGAGGCATGAGACTGCTGGAAAGGTTYTTTTGTCTTAAAGAGACCATCATGAAAGGCAGCCACCTTTCAAAGACCAGAAAGAACCAGAAGCCACAACCTGCTGGGCCTGTTTTGATTCACTCCAGACTCACTCCCCAGAGAGTCGTCTTCTCTCCTCTGAGACACTGTCACCAGCCTCGATGCTCATGCTACAGAGCTCTTCAAGCTATAAAAACAAAGGCCTTGCCGGTGCGGTGGCACACGCCTGTAATCCCACCAGCTCAGGAGGCTGAGGCAGGAGGATCGCAAGTTCAAAGTCAGCCTCAGCAACAGCGAGGCACTAGGCAACTCAGTGAGACCCTGTCTCTAAATAAAACACAAAATAGGGTTGGGATGTGGCTCTGTGGTCAAGTGCCCCTGAGTTCAATCCCAGGAACCAAAATAGAAAAAAAGGGGGCGAGGGAGTGAATCACTAGTTCTAAACTCTGAAAAGAAATTCCTAAAAAGATGCTTTCATGGTACGTGATATCTACCTCAATTAAAAGAAGAAGAGATACTGTGTCCTTTGAGTACTCTGAAGCAGTCACTCTCTCCAGGAACTCATTAAATCCACGTTTTTATCCTGAGACTGGACTCACTCACATTCTCAGGGAGGAAGAAATGTAGAGGAGAATTGGAAACAGCTCATGCAGCTCTGCCATTTCTGTTCCTCGTGAAAATAAAGAGTGGCACAACACATATACGTGGCAAGAAAAGAGATGACCTTACATATTCCCAAATGGTCTTCACTCAATCATTTATGTAAATTATATAACTATTCCATAGATATGAATTATTACACTTTGAATACAGTTTACAATGAAATTAGAAAATCACCCTCACTCTTCTCAAAGGTAAATCTAGTTCGACCTTTGTTCATGAAACAAATCATAATAAGACAGTTCATCAGCCTCACAGTGAGTTATGGAAGTAAAATGAGTAGATCTAAACAAATCACAATGCTAAAGTATCAAGCAGTATGATGATAATTTCCAATTAATTAAAAGCTTCACACTGAACTGTTATTCCCAAGAGAACAGCATCTGCACAGCTCTCACATGATATAGTGAGCACCCGAAAGAGTGGTGTTTTCAATTTGAGGACACACGAGGGCTAAGCTCCCATAAAACAAAATGTGTAATCACACACATTACAAACACAAGAATAATCGCTCATTATTTTGGGAAAAAACAATATACTTACAAGAGATAGCAGCAAACTGAACAGGTCACCAACATGGTGATGATGACTCTAAAAACAAAGCACAACAAAGGCAAATGTTATCAGATCACCAGTGAACCAGGGACACAGTGACGCTGTAAGTCCCCTCCCAACGTGGTCAAGCTGCCACTGACTGTGCACCAAGAAAGTGGATCCGTATCTGCTTGAATATCCAGTAGACTAAAGTGTGCCCACATCCATCTGYAACTGAACAGAAAAATCTGTAGTGACAGTTAGTTTTGACAGCCCAGTCACTACCAGATTTGGTACTATTCTCTGCAATAAATTAATATAGTACTTTTAAAACTATGCTCTCTAATACTGACTCTTCCCATCTTTACTCGTGTCTAAAAAGTTAAACTTGGGCTGGGCATAGTGGTGTACACCTATAATCCTTTGAGACTCAGGAGGCTGAGGCAGGAGGATCACAGTGAGGCCAGCCTCAGMAAATCAGTGAAGTCCTAAGAAACTCAGTGAAACTCTGTCACAAAATAAAAAATAAAAAGTGCTGGAGATGTAGCTCAGTGGTAAAGCACCCCAGGACCAAAAAAATAAATAAATAAAAAGCTGAATTTCAATTTTTCTAAAACAGAACTCTTAATATCCTCTTTCATCTCTTTTTCAAAAGTTCCTCTTATAGATCTCCTACTCCCCTGAGGGCCAGAGGTGTAGCTCAGTGGTAAACTGCATGCTTAGCATGAGTGAGGCCCTGGGTTCAATCCCTAGCACCAAAAATCCAAAATAAACAAACAAAAACATTTCCTCCTCCCTGGAAGCAGTTGTGCCATTTCCATCTATCTGATCCACCCGCCCCTCAATCCACCATCCTTTGCTCATGCCCGCTTTGCACCCTTGTTCACCTATTGCAGGGACTGGTAACCTTGAAGCATCTCTCCCCTGACAGGCTTGCTCTTTTCCAACCGCACTGTCAGCAGCTGGCCAGGACACTAGGGCAGCATATGGCTCAGATTCGAAACTCCCTTCCCTCTCTTCCATGCCACCCACACCATCGCTTAGACTCACCTGTCTGAACTATTCCTTTCATCATATCCCTCTCTAGTCCCACATCACCCACAGGAGTGGCTTCCAAAGAGGGATCTCCACATCCCAGGAAGCAAGCAAGACTGTCCCCTGGAACTTGGAAAGCAAGTATCAGAACTCTTGTTTATAATTATTCCTAAACTATCCTTCAGAAGTTGTGCAGAGGCACACACCTGTAATCCCAGCTACTTGGGAGGCTGAGGCAGGAGGATTATAAATCCGAGGCCAGCCTGGGCAACTTGGTAAGACCCTATCTCAAAGTAAAAAGGGCTGGGGATATATTTCAGGGGTAGCATACCCCTGAGTTCAAAACAGCCAGTACCACAAAATTAAATAAATAATACACTGTTTCATATAAAGCTCCCTCATTAAAACATCAGCTTCATGTTTTCTAAGAGTTGCATGTGAAGTCTTTAGAGATGAAGAGTCACACTGGCTGCAATTTTGTTTCAAATGGCTGGGCAAATTTTATACACACAAGTATTCATAAACAAAGTGAAAATGGGTATGTTAGTTATTTAATCTAGGTGGTAGTATGTGGCCCTTATTGTCATTGTCACTCCTTCCACTTTTTGATGTCTGAAATGTTCATGGAAAAACCGGAACTGGCTGAACTCCTGCAGGCTAACTCCTCTGCGCCTCCCTGCCTTCCGCCATGCCTGGCAGAGCCAATGTGGAAAGAATAAAAAAAAAAAGCTTTTAGAGAATCTGTGGATTTTCAAAAACAAAAAAGGGGGAGTGGTCATGAAGACCAGGAAAGCTGGCAGAGACTTATTTTATCTCACTCTTCCACTGTAGGAAAGAGTGGAAAGGGCTTGCCTCCCGGCCTCCCTCCCTCACCAGGCCTCTAAACTCACAACCACCCAACAAACAGTCCACACTGCAGTGCTCCGGGGTCTCTCAGGAAAGAGGATGTAATATCAGAGTCCTTTGTCTTTCTCCCTTCTTACACAGTTCTTTTACTTATCTTCTTAATGAAGACTTCAATCTCTTAAATCAGAAATTGCTTTTTCTGTATTAAAAACACAATCCATGAAGCAGCTCAGCTCCTTCGCATATTAAAAAAACAAAATCTGATTTGCAATCTTTTCCAGAGGTAAAGGGGAACTAGTACTAATTCAGTACTAATGTTTCCATTTTACCATGAGGAAATAGGAACTTGGAAAAGTTAACTCAACTGTCCAAGGTCAGAGGTCATCCACCCAGGAGCAGTTCTCGAGTGTAATCCTGCAACTCCTGGAGACCTTGTCTCAAGACCTGCTCAATCCTACCAAGAGCAGGAAATACAAGAACTGTGGTGAAGGCATGAATGTACCCATATATCACCAGCAGATCAAATACCAGAACCTTCATGCTAGGCTAGAAACTGAATAGAAACAGGAGGGGTCTCAATATCCTGGATATAATATGCTTTTAATAAATGCTTTTCTGAAGCTGAAGGCCAGAAAGGCAGAAGAGTAATGAAACATGAAGATATAAACAGATATAAACACAACAAAGAATTCTGATTTTGATGTCTAATTCCAACTAAACCTGGCTTATATGAATTGTTTTAATAACCTCACAATTCTGACACTATAAATCGACTACTAAGCTGGGCAGACTGGCACACAACTGTAGTCCAGCTACTGGGGAGACTAAGGCAGGAGAACTGCTTGAACTTAGGAGTTCATGGCCCACCTATCAGACACACTAGAGACCACCTTTCTTTTTAAAAAAATTTTTTAGTTGTTGATAGACCTTTATTTTATTTATTTTTATGCAGTGCTGAGAATCGAACCCAGTGCCTCACACATGCCAGGCAAGTGTACTACCACTGAGCCCCAGCCCCAGCCCAAGAGACCACTCTTGTTAATAAAAATAAAAAGTAAAAAAATCTCTGCCAACCACTCTGCTGTGGAGGTATGACCCTATATAATTGCTTTATGGGGAAGGGGGTCATGATGCTTGCAAATGATGGAAATTCACCTACCATGTTTCCTTAAAAAAAAA